AGAAGTAATCAGTTAGTCACTCTTTCTGACACAGTCCGGATCGAAAGATGAGGATACTCGTGAAATCTATCGATACACCCAAGTGTCGTATATAAAAATATCGGGTACGGGAAGCAAAAGTATCGATATTTCTAAATATAGGATCGTATCGAACATCCCTACTGTCAAGATGTACAACCCGAGGTACCGACGGAGCTATTTTGCGTCGTAATGGAAATTATTTTAAATTTTCATTTGCATCCTTTCAAGTGTTGTGCAACGATTTTGGGAAAAATTCCACGTATAGTCTTATAAAGCATAGTAGAGTATATTTCATATCCACCCTTATGGCGTCAAATCAAGAGATCCAGAAGGCCATTCTATAGGTCCTCTTCGCCCTATCCATTTATCTGGAAACTGGTCAACTAGCCATTGCCGAATCGGAAGAACATAGTGAGGAGGAGCGTCGTCTTGCTGGAAATATATTTTTCAGCCTCATCAGGTATAGGGTTTCCATCCTCTTCGATTTGGTTTTCAATGGTTTCATTAATAAGAGGATTGATGGTATTTTCCAACATATCCAAAGAAATGTCTACATTCACATTTCCATTAATAAACAATGGCCCAATCACTTTGTTTCCTAAAATGCCTGCCCATACATTAACTTGCTGGGGATATTGGGTATGCCCTTCTACAAAAGCATTATGATTTTCATTGCTCCAATATCTGCAGTTATGCTTATTAACAAATCCATTTAGATAAAATGTGCATTCATCACTGAAGCAGATATTCTTCACATGAATGGAATTATCATTAATTGCTGCAGTCATTTGTTCACAAAGCTCAACTCGCCTATCGAAATCATCTGTCCGATGATCACGATTTTTCATCTGCAACAGATCCAGTTTGACTAAATTTAGTAGCAAGGTCCAAAACATACCTATGCGAAGTTATCTTCTGCCAAGCACACTGATTTTGGGCACCATAAATTTGAATAATTTCCACTCTTTCGGCTAGTAAACCATTTTGGAAGTAAAATCTGAATCAATAAATTAATTTTCACTATCCCAAGATTGTCATACAGGTAACTGACATCGAATTGAATTCTTTATTTCCCCTTAGCAACAAATAACTGAACAGGAGTAACAATAAATACAGGTCGCCCAGGATATATGTGTTGATAAAAAGAATGCGAAAAAAATTCAGTTTATTTGGTTGTTGCCACGTCTAATTTTCAGAATTGTTGTTTATGTTGGTAGTTTCCGTTTTGAATTATAAATGAATTGTAGGTTTGGCAGACTTTATCGGGCAACATGTGGAGCACTTAATGAAAAGTGATATTTTAGTGAGTTTTTGTTTTCTATTTGAACAAATTAAGATAAATAAAGAATTTTCTAATCAAACGTCAAAATAAAGGACTTCAAAAGACCTTTCCAACAAGCTATTACTCGATAACCCTTGTCACTTAAAATTTTCAAGGAATGACCCTGGAGGGCCGAGGGTGACCAAGGGTAGTTTTTGCTTAAGAATTTGTCCGCCTTGACAAATCTTTTGATGTGTCTCGGCGTTTTGTATTTTAATCAGTGTTTTCCGATAAATCTGTGGTGGGAAGCTTTCGAATAAACACCCTGTATATGTCAGGTGCTACTCCTGCATTAGCGCTTCAGCTGTTAACAACGGCGCAAGATGAAAACCCCAGTCTAGCGTTAGATGAAGGTATCACCACAAGGAACACACTCACGTTTTAGAAACTCAACGAAGTATCTTATCGACAAGTTTATGAAAGCAACGAGGATGTACTAACTCGACGATGATGCAATAATTGATTGACATTATAATGCAGATGTAAATCCTACGGCTAAGCCCTAGCTGAATGTTGTCAAGAGTGCAAACCGTTCGAAGCAGACCAGAACAAAAAACTTGAATGAATAGTCATATATACACGTATATTACGATATCCTAAGGCTATGTTCACATTATGCGCTTGATAAGGCCACAATCAAAGACAATTTAATAACCATTGCTTTTCCGTACCATCGTGCCTTTGAATTTTGGAACCTCTCGTGCAAGATCCTGATCAGTGTCAATATATTAAAACAAGCTTGCCCTTGAATTGACCTTGTAAGGATCATGGCCATAACACATCACTATACCTTCATAAAAGCTTTTTAAATAAAATACTTGCTTCAGTATAACATTTCTCGGGGAGTTTGGACGAAGTACAATCATGACATTCGCCATTTTTGCAAATCGGACAAACTTCCCCCATTTCTCAGAAACTAATCATAGGATTGCTTTGGTCCCTTGAGAACTGTTGCTGAGGAAAGCGCCACAAAAAGTATGATCGATTTTTAGACAAATCGACTGGCACTTATTTTCCATATGCTTTGTGCGGAGTCCTTTTGATATCACTTACTCAGCTTCAAAGAGCATCACAAGTGTATTAGATTTGTCACTTTTTGCTGTATCTGAAACTTCATGAAGGACTTCGTTCTTATATATTTTATCATATTTTATAAGCCCGTTAAAATATGAAAACTTGAAAAGATTCGGATTTCACGAAACTGTTCAAACCGTTCTCTTATTTCTAATTCAGATATTCCTATCAACTCATCCTGTAATCAATCTCTTTCCATCTAAAAGCAACCCCGAAGCGGGCCCCTAAATAACGAACAATTTGCGGAAGAGACCCCATAATTCCTAGAGGGCGCCATGCTCTCCCCCTCACCCTCTCTACCTCGTCATGTCAACAAATCCCACCGCACAGAATCAACCGAGTGGCCGTATGTCGCTCGTAAAACAAAGAAGAATCGTGTCCTGACAAAAGAATATGAAATCCGGAGGAGCTTTTCGAGTGGTTGCCGGTCTGCTTGAAGAGGGCCTGAGTCAGCGAGGCTCACTTGTTTCGCTTTGTGCCACCCACAGACGCTATCAATTATCCAGATGGCAGTGGCAAAACGCGGTTCAGAGCGGGAATATTGATGTGCAATAGTGCTTTATGATTACAGAATTTAGGCAGAATTAACAACATTTAAAATTTATATTTTACTTTTCATGATAGGCGGGTAACTGTGGCGGACCGACGGGCGGTGTTGGTCGAAACACCGCAAAAAGGGAAGAATAAACTGGAATATTTACAGCCTTTGGCTATTAGCGTTTAGAAGTGGATATAAGTAGGCTCAGACATACTCGTGGTTACTTTCTCAGGGGCATTACAAGAAAGGAATGCCGTCAAATAGATAGACTCCGTACTTCTGACGCATTCATATACAGGATGTCTGCGAAAGGTTGGGAAATCTCGAAACTGGAGATACTACAGATCAAAATATGTGAATTGATCTAAACATATCTTAGTCCAAAAGGTCAACTTTTGGACTAAGGTATGTTTAGTCCTAGTCCTAGTCCTAGTCCTATCTACAGTTTCGAGTTTTCCAATCTTTCGCTAACTATTTTCAAATTTCTTTTACCTATGAATACATCCTGAATTTCTAAAGATATTTCCTGAAGGTGCACTGTCATCTAGGGCCAGTTATACAAAACAGTAGTAAGCCCGAGTTCACGCTTCAACGAAAGATGCGTTGCACCGTCAGGTCAACTGAATTTCCCTTTAAAGTAAGAGTCGTTGGTGGTACAGTTGGTGACAGAGAACCAACACATGTGTAGCGATGTAGCGGTGTATATATATATATATATATATATATATATATATATAAAAGTAACTGATTCCATTGCGAGATGAAACCTGCTGATTCCATTTGTTGAAGTGATTGAAACTATAGGTTTGAGATTTTCTGGGATACACCAATGCATCATACAATTCCAGAATATCGTTACCATCAGTAATTTGTTCAACAATATCCTCAATTTTCGATTAATATTAACCAAACTCTATACGCAACATAACCTAAAAGCTTATAGACATATGTCAATTTTGCACCGATTATCATTAAGCTATAGAAATTTAGTCCGATTTGACGTTGAATGGAGGTACCTCTCTCAGTCAACCTGACCGGAATTTAAACTGCTATATGTTCGTGAACTTGTGCGAGGGATATCTTTCAAGTTTTGCATATAGATACATAGTAGGCCGCGCGGATCGAAAATCAGTACTGAATCTTAACCTCACTCTTCAGTAAACTTAAATTCAAAGTTTCACAAAAATACGTGCGGTGTTCTCACTGCAGTGAATTTTTAAGTGTCACCAAGTCATTAGAAAAATGGAACTCAACCGAGAACATTTTCGCGTCATAATTTATTACAACTTTCAGAGACAATTATCGCAACAAGAATGCCTTGCTGAGTTACTGTCTGTTTTCGGCAACGAACCGCCACATCAGTCGACAATTTCCCGTTTGTACGAAGAATTCAAACGTGGACGGGTGAGTCTTAGCGACGATCCCTGGGTGGGTGCACCAAAAACGGCAGTCACCCAGGAAAACGTCGATGCTGTGCGCAAACTCATCATTGAAGATAGACATGTGACATATCGCGAGATTGAGGCATCCTTGAAGATCTCAAAGACCGCAATTAAAAATTTTACATGAAGAATTAGGAGTAAGAAAATTAGTTTCTCATTGGATACCCCACCTGTTGACTGAAGAGCAGAAAGCAGCCAGGGTTAATTGGTGTCAAAGAACGCTTGACCGTTTCAATTCCGGAAACTCAAAAAATGTGTACAGCACTGTTAGTGGTGATGATTCGTGGATTTACTGTTATGAACCAGAAATTAAACGACAGTCGGCTGTTTGGGTGTTCCAAGATGAAGAAAAGCCAACAAATGTCATCCGTTCTCGAAGTCTTTCGAAAAAGATGGTCGCGACATTTGTGTCAAAAGCGGGTCATATTGCAACAATTCCCCTTAATAAGCAATAAACTTTTACTGCGGATTGGTATACCACTATTTGTTTGCCAAAAGTCATCACCGAGCTTCGAAAAATCATCCCCAAACGAAGAATCATCCTCCACCAAGACAATGCAAGCTCGCACACAGCCCATAAAACAAGGCAGTATTTAACGGAAGTAAACTTAGAATCATTGGACCATCCTCCATATAGTCCCGATTTAAGTCCTAACGATTTCTTTACTTTCCCGAAAATTAAAAACAGACTGCGTGGTCAAAGGTTCCAGTCATCAGAAGAAGCAGTTGACGCATTCAAAAATGGCGTTTTGGATCTGTCAGCAAACGAGTGGAATAAGTGGTTCGAAAATTGGTTCGAGCGCATGCAGATGTGTATTAATGTTCGTGGAGAATACTTCGAAAAACAATAAAGACATTTAAAACTACCTATCGTGTTGTTTTATTTCCAGATGCAAAACTTAAAAGACATCCCTCGTATAGTACAACGCTAATTTTCCATTGAACGAGGTTCAAAGTTAAACTTCGGTTAAACCAGCACGGGTACTATGTAAAAAACCTATAAAACGTCAAAAAACCTATAAAATGTCATATTGCAGGCTAGGTAGTTTTTAGGGTGCAAGCAGTCCATTCCACGTTTGCTCAGCGTCCATCTATAGAGGAATGACTCAACTACATGTATTGTTGGTTGCATATTTATGTTTTGTGAAGCCGGGTAATCTATAGTTTTCATCTCTGAGAAGAAAGTTTGTTGAATAGCAAGATCGCATATGGATGATAGTGTGTATTGGTCTGCATGTGTACGTATATATAGTGAAATTAGTGATATTTGCTGTGTGAGAAAATTATTACTGAATATGGTGCCAATGAGGTATATCTATTAGCTGTGCTCGACGAATTATTTATTTGTGTTCAAAGTTATAAATTACGATTTTTTACGCTTTTTGTGTTCTCAAAAACTTTGAGGAGAATTACGGAAATCACCACCGCGCCTGTGTATTACTGTTAGCATGTTTATGACTTGTAATTCGACATTATACAGTCACTACAATTATTTCTTATCTCTCTCATTTTTGATATTCAGCAAATTTGCATATGTTGTTTCCAGAATGGATAAGAAAAACGAAAAGAATCTCAAGTAAGTGTATTTGAGACAAAAATCCCATGGAATTATCATCAACACATTTTATTAGCATGCACATCCTCACTATGAACCTATGCATTGCCGTTACCTCCAGTAATACCAGAGCCCAACATTGATAACTAAAGCCTCATGATTTTTAGGCAACACGTACAACTACAAAACGAGTTCACAACGTGTCCATCAGGTACTACAAATTTCTTACTTAGTGAACTGTCATTTTTATTATTATTGAACGGCTCTGTCTTCTTCGCTGTTTCAATTAGGATTAGATCTACTATAACAGGCAGTGATACTAGGGAAAATGAAAGAAGTGTGTGCCTGCATAATCTACCCACAGTCTTCTGTAATTTCAAAAGTGATTTTCAGTATAAATTTTTGTTGACCAGATCTATTGAATTGTTTGCTGAAGTTTGGCACATTTGGCCAGAAAGTGACATTGAGATATCTTGAAAGTCCTAAAATACAAAAACATAACGGATGTTATGAAGTTTACCCAGACGATTAAGATTTTACTTCCTATGCAACTGGTGAGGTAGTATTGTAATTACGAAAGATTTCTAAAATGTTATCTTACGTTTTTTAGATGTTACATGGTACCTAAATAACGAAAAAACATGTCGTAATTTCCGACGTCTGTGTGCCGGTGTCCGCTAATCCTTGGCCGACAATAACTAAGGAAGTAGTGCTTGGGTTTGAGCGATGATAGGTATTCGCAACGGCGTGCTGCGTTAGCGAGTGCCGCGAGGAGCGTAGCAGGCCACGTTACCGGATGGTCGATGCTGTCGGTAGGACGTTAGGCTATATCGCAATGTTGTCAAATGTGTGAGGACAATGGACTACTTGAAAGGGCTCGTTCGACTAAGTTGGTTCATTTGATTGCTTTGTTCGTTGCTAACTTTTTCTGAGAGGAGCTAACTTCTGCCGAATATAATCCTTTGGAACAACTCTGCTTGGGAAGCGTAAAGTCAACCTACTTGACGTCACCTTTTGACACGAATAGCTACTTTCCCGTATCCCGTACCTCGAAACATTTTACGATCCAGTAATATTGTAACCTCGGTAATGCCCTTCTCATCTTGTATCTTATTCTTGGACGTGCCCTTTCGCCAGCCGGTAATGAGCCTCCGTTGTGCTATTTAGCGGGGAGGTTCCGTGAAGGTGATAGAAATTCTGAACGTTTAATAGCCTTCGCGCAGTTAACCTCTTACGAAGATGTTCGGGACGACTGCCGCCGTCCCGCGCGTCGTCCCTGTGAAATGATCCAAATTATAAGGTGCAAAAGGGGATTCAAAAACGTTGATGCGAAATACCGTCGCCTTGAAGAAGATACGAAGATTATAGTAACATCTGAAACTTATCCTGCGATTTTCATGTCAATAATCCACCATGTTTGACTTTCCAATCAAAACGATGTGTTTAAAAATCTTCTTTATTGTATACGTTTGGACGGACGGTTTTATTCGACAGACAAACACGGGGGGAGTAGGATACTAATGTAAGCCATACACGCTACGGTGTACCGGAGAGGTGACCTGTGCAGGTTTGCCTGCGGTACGGCGTAGCGTGTATACCGGAGCGGTCTTCAATTCTGTCCACGATGGCAACGATTGAGGACGATGACGCGCTGGCATTGATAGGCCTTGCGGTCATTTTGAAGAAGAAACATACAAAAACAGTGATAAAAAAGCGAAAAAAGTGGTATAAACATTGGCTATTGAAGAGGAAAACCTATAGTCATGTTAAGCTATTGAATGAGCTAAAATTCGAACCTGAATATTTTAAAAACTATCTCAGAATGGACGAGAATACCTACCTAAAATTACTTGTAATGGTTACGCCCATGATAACAAGAAAGGATACAATTATGAGGAATAGTATTTCTGCGCACGAAAGGCTATCAGTTACCTTAAGATTTCTTGCAACCGGCCGCAGTTACGAGGACCTAAAATTTTCATCAATTATTTCACCTCAAGCGCTCGGAAAAATTATTCCTAAGACATGTGAGGCCTTGTATAAGGTTCTCAGAAAAGGTTATTTGAAGGTGAGTAATTCAAACTTTTTGTTATTAATTGCACTCATTTATTAAGGAACTCACAACTTTAAGAAACTACAGAAAAGTCATTGTCGCATATAAATCATGTATCAGCATTAAAGGTTGTAACGAATGATGCTGCAGAATCTGGAATCGATACCAGTACTTCTGTTTCACCGGGTTGATTTCTTGAAAGTGTAGGTGTTTGCATTTGTGAGTAGGGGATGACATGATGACTGTTGAGTAGACGACTAGTTGGTAATAATTGCTCGGAATGTTGACTGGGAACAGGAAGGCAAGGTGGGCTAGGATTTCCTGAAGCAACAAAGCTTACAGGAGTATACGTCCCATGAACATAGTTTCGTTGATTATTTTGTTTCAAAACATCTCGCATGCTTATATAGGCATGATCGGGAGTCAGATGTCCGATTTCTGCTTCGAATAATAAATCATTTATAAGTTTTTCGGCTACTAGTATTTGTTTGGCATCTAACGCCCTCAGTTTAATGGCCACATTTTTCCCGATAAGATCGCAGCGGTCCTCTGTTCGTGGACGCTTAAAATGGTCTCGCACCGAAACCAAAACTTCGTTGGCGATGGAATCATCTAGTCTTTTTGATTTACTCGGTTTCGGTGGGCGAGATGAATGATGATTTGATGATTCTGATTCACTATTGTTAGTTGTTGATTCACTATTGATGTATGTTGTAGTATCTTGCGTGTTGTTTGAGTTTTCTCCCTGAAAACAAAAACAAAAATGATATATATATATACATACATAGAATGAGTAGTTAGTTTTTAATGCTGGAACATTGGCTAATACCGTTATCTATGTATTTCAGTTTCCTACATCTGAAGAAGAATGGAAAGAAATAACAAAGATGTATGAAGAACGATGGAACTTTCCTCATTGTCTCGGTGCAATAGATGGGAAGCACATTGCGATTGTTCCTCCGGCTAATAGTGGATCATATTTTTATAATTATAAAGGGCATCATAGTGTGGTTCTTATGACAATTGCTAATGCAAAATACCAATTTGTGTACATAGATGCTGGAATGAATGGTAGAATATCCGATGGAGGGGTACTACAAAATACTGTATTTTTTGAAAAATTAGAAAATAATGAATTACATATTCCAAGCAGTGAAACAATAAAAGGAAGTAACCTACATTTGCCATATGTATTTTTGGCAGACGACGCCTTTCCATTACGTCCCGATATGATAAAACCGTTTCGCCAGGGAGATTTAGCATCCCGAGAAAGAAAAATATTTAATTACAGATTATCTCGTGCCCGACGCACTGTAGAAAACGCTTTCGGCATTATGGCATCACGATTTCGGATATATTATAGTCATATAAATTTAGAACCCAAAAATATCGATAAAGTAGTTAAAGCTTCTTGTGCGTTACATAATTTTTTAATTGAACACTCAAAAAAGTCTTATGCACCTCTAAAATGTTTTTATCGAGAGAACTCTGAAAACAGAACTATAATTTCGGAAGGATATGCTACAAAAAATAGTACGATGGAAAATTTAGAAAGAAGAAACCCAGGAAATACTTTGAACACCGCGAAGACTGTTCGAGAAGACTTCATGAATCATTTTAATGCGGAGGGAAGAGTACCATGGCAAGACGATCATGTAAATTAACGAAGTAGTTTCAAATAGCCTTGAACTATCGCGTAATCTCAAATGTAAGCGATAATGTGTTATATACAATTTAATAAAAATTACTATGTACAAGATAGTTTACTTACCTCACAACTATTTTCGTCATCACTGACCAAGTTTGATGAAGATTCCCTTGGAGTGCATTGATCCTGAATAAAGTTAAATAAATCGTAGTACCACAGCTTAATAGAGTATACATCATCGGCAGATGCCCCAGAGTTTAAAGACTGTTCAAATTTCTTTTTCTCCTTTCTAACATTACTTCTCATGTTGTTAATTTTTTTTACAACCACCGCTTTGCTAGCATCTGGTTCTATTTCTTTCAATTTATCAACCAGTAATTTATAGGCTGCTTCTTTTTTATCCCTATCGTGGTATTCTTTATTTTTTATTTGCCAGAGGCACGGATGAGTTCTATATAAATCAATGAGGTCCAGAAACCTGCGCAGGTCTATTCCCACACACGCACCGGTCTACCTGTGCAGGCATACCTGTACAGGTATACCTCTCCGGTAGACCGCAGCGTGTGTGGGAGCCATAAGAGTTCGTTTTTTTTGGAAGCAGTTTCGTCAAACAGTGGCTGCTGAAAAAGGTCAGAAAAATGTAATGTGTGCATATTAATAATGGCGTTTGGATACCTGGAACTTCGTTTTTCTGGAATGAAATTCTTATATGACGTACTACCAAATTAAATACAACTGTTTGCTAAATATAACTTCACACGTATGTCACTATAAAAACACACGCCTTAATTAAACGGAGAGAAAGAGAATGAGTATGTATGAATCACTATACCCCATTCGTAGTCCAGTTACGCCCAGACAAAGCACAACATGCCCAAGAGCATGTACAAGTCCGTGCTTTCCTCAATGATCTTGGAATAATCTAACAAAACAAATGATTATTTTTACAGAAAGAACTGCACATACTTTTCACAATTTTTTATTTGCTGAAAGTACTTGAATCATCGTCCAAATGGTTAAAATTAATTATTACAAGTTCAATCACATCTTTGTTTCGATTGTCTCTTGAAGGTGACGGATGCAATCTTTCCAATGGTTTGCCGACACTCTGTTGACAGCTTCATAAAACAAATTGCCCATAGGGCAGTGGGCACAAAGCCATCTTCACCGCCAATGTGACAGATAACAAATCGCTTTGCTTTGATTCAATTGTAGAGACAGCCTGTGATTTAGGTTTTGTATGTCCTGCATCTATCCAGGTTTCATGTTTTAGGGCATAAGCCTGTTTGTTTTGATCGCCACACGTCTTTCAATATCATGAATTTTCATTTCAGGATGCTCTAAAATTTCGCTATTATAAACGTTAAGGACAATTTCTTTAGCCTGAATCTTCAAATGTCCATTCTTGTCACGTTTTCGAAGAGGAAGCATGGCTGAAGGAAGCATTGGGAGAAATATTCTCAATTTCATCTGCTCTATCCGCAGACGACATGCTAACGTATAAACACACGCTATGTATGCACCGAATATGAACAGCAACTGCCGGCCTCGGCGTGCCGGCAATACCCCGAGTCTGAGTTCTATCCTGTTGAATCCTGCACTTGTTCATAGTTTTATGGCCCAATGACCAATGGCTATTACAACGCGTAGGCGGCTGCCGCTTTGCCGTTCTTCATCTTTGATGTGCCGGGGCGTAAATGGACTACGAATAGGGTATATGGTGTGAGCTACATGCCGTGATTGTGGCCATATGATTATATTTTCGAAATTTTTTTAACTTGAAACTATAATCACTAGAGTAAAAAAATATGCACAGAATGAATAAAAATCTCTAAAATATCATGTGCAATTCTGTAAATGAGAGTCTTTACCTAGATATCAATCGTTTAGAACGTAGTTGCTTCACAATATGAAGGTACACCAGCTGCCATTTGCCTCTCTAGTGTACCATGCCACTTTGCCGCTAGTAAGACCATAAAATAAAGAGTTCACAGCATTGCTTTGGTTAATAACAATTAAAACGTTGCACCGCTTCCCAAAAACAATGTTACTCAAGATGACTATAAGTTTACCATTGGTCTTTATCAGAGTTTTATTGATAGACCCGTAAAGCTGGTGTCAGAATCAGTACATTGCCAATATCTAGTATTGGGCCCAAATAGGTAACGAAATCTGATGAGCGTCACCTACAAAATATATTCTCAGACCGCTGAAAATGTCAGCAAGGCACTTATGTTCTATCTTATAACTGGTAATCGCTGTATTAGTATTCACAAGGGTACCAGCATTCTATGCATAGTTGCATAGATGGTTACAGGTAAAGAATATTTTGCTTTCCGCCTCTGTAATCATGACCAACTACAGCCAGCGCTGCTTCGTGCTTTCTAGGCCTAGTCTCTCAGGCAAACAAGTGGATATGGCCTTTTAAAAAACTTGCTATGTTGTGGCGTATAGCTGAAAGACGTCGATAATATGTACAGATGATGTCGGGGAGGATTAAAATTATGGCATGTCCAACTTTGGCCGCCGTGGCTAGTTGAGTACCTATAAAGCGCATATCACACGATGTATACGGGCACAGAACAGCATTTACAAAACAGAGGCACGCAAATTATTAATGCTTTGTGACTATCAAGGTGCATGGCTACGTACGATGTAAACATGGCTACTGTTGCAACTGGCGGGTTCAAGTTGTGGTATACATTTAGAGCTTGGACATATTTTTCTGTTCCTAGCCCCAGTCACAGTACAATTAGGAAGTTTTGTATAGTCGAAAATACTGATTTTTTATATTTGCATATAATAGCATAACTGGTACCTTTCACAAAACTGAAAGAATTATTCGATTAACTTGAAATTTAAGGAGGTAATGACATTTTCTTTGCTGCGTGCTGTAGCTGCTCTGCCGCTGTATCCCGCTCTCGCACGTCGATATTCGGTCATGAGGTCACATGACATAGGTTTGGCTTCTGGGCGACAGCACTGACTACAGATTTTGTATATCGCACTCATGCTTAGCGCTCAACCTGATAGAACTCAAATTTAAGTTTTAGTTGTTTTCAGGATCTTTAATAATGAACTTGATATCGAAATAGCGGTGCTCATATGGCGGCTATGTTTGCAAAAATGTAATTAGCTTTTATGTTTTTTTAAGGTCGCTAATAACGAATAAAATATCGTTTCTTAAAAAACCTAAATTGCGGATCCAGTATGACGGCTATGCTTGCAAAAAGATCATCAGTATTCATATCATTGTACAGAGTGCGGCAGAGAGGATGGACGGTCTTAAAAAAATCATAAAATAGTTAATTTTTACTCGAAAACAAATTTATTGATGGAATCAGGTTTACAAGGAAATGGCATTTGAGACAGTCAAGTGTGGAAAATCACATCAGGCATGTGGTGGCCGAAATCGTTGATGCAGTGCTGGAGGCGTTCTTGGAAGTCCGCGTAGACTCTCTCCAACATCGCTCTCTTAACTTGGACAACTTCCACGCGAATTTCGCCCTTTAATTCGTCCAGAGTTCGGAGCTTGTTCGCGTATACTCTAGCCTTGAGGTGTCCCCATAAGAAAAAATCGCATATGGATAAATCTGGGGACCGAGGAGGCCAATGAACATCGCCAAACCTGGAAATAAGGCGACCAGGGAAGAGAGGGCGAATATAACGTCCATGGATGAACGGGTTGTGTGGGCGGTCGCCCCATCCTGCTGGAACCACACACGTCGGATTCGAACACGTCGCCGTCGTAATTCAGGGAGAAAGAAGTTGGTGATCATGTCGACGTAGCGCTCTGAGTTCACGGTAACATCACGACCATTACCAATGACTACACAAAGGAAGAATACGAAAAAAGAAAAGTCCTACATGCACATTTAAAACAAGCTAGACAAGCAAATAACTCAGCATATATAAAAAACAACAAATTATATGTGAATGGTGACGGCTATTCATATGTAACACTACAACAGGACGAGTTACCAGAAACATTTACAGTAGAAGCTACATCGAAATTCGAAACAGGCCACAGATCCACAAACAACAATAGCGAGACCAAAAGAGGGGAAAAGAGATCTGCTGAAGAAGCTTCTTCAGGAAAGCAAAAAATCTTAGTAATTCATCAAGGCCCTAAATTAGCAATTCTAGGCCATAATGGACTCATACATTCGTGATTTTCGAATAGAAAAGATTAGTACTAAAAATGTAACGTCTATAGATGAATGCAATAGCACTTTGAATTCAGAATGTAACAGAGAAAATGTTTCGTTATTGCACCTAAATATTAGGAGTACCTATACATAGAAATTTCGACGAATTCAAGGTGCTACTGCATGGAATCAAAAAAACATTCGACTGTATAGTTTTGTCAGAATGCTGGAAACTTGAAGATATTTCACTAAATGAACTGGAAAATTATAACATATACTATAATGATGGTGATATTAACAAAAATGATGGGGTTATAGCTTATATCAATAAAAACGTTGAGGAGACCGAGAATACAATAATACAACTTTCTAACACAAACATAAAGATCTTGCAGCTTTCTATGAAAAAATGTAAAGACCTAGTACTTGTTTCAGCTATTTATAGACCACCGTCAACAGATGCTTTGTCATTTCTCAGTGACTTGGAGCCATACCTTGAATCTTGTAACAAAAGTCGTTGCATCCATCTACTGGCGGGTGACATAAACATAAATATAATGGAAAAGTCTGAGTTATCGGAAAAATACTTGAATATCTTAGCCTTGTATTACCTTCGTCCAGCAATAAATGACTACACAAGAGTGGATGGTAACGCAAAGTCTTGTATTGATCACATATTCGCTAGCACTCCTTCTGATAATGGTCACATAAATTCTGTAATACTTCAAAACCATATAACTGATGACTTTACAACTATACTAGAGATAATTTTCCCCAAAATCATTAGCAAAAATATAAACACAAATTGTGTATATACAACAAATGAAACCAAATTACTTGAACTTCTGAATAATCAAACTTGGACACCAATATATAATTCGATCAACACGCACAAAGCTACTGAACATTTCATACAAATATTGAACGAAAATATCACTAAATGTAGGTATAAATTAAAACTCAAAA